GGGTGAACAAACCCCCCTACACACCTCAGGGCAGAGGTGTGCGTCGCGGAGTCGCAGGTGAGGCGCCGACTACATGTCTCGCGCGCGAGCGTCGTGCATGGCGTGTGTCCTTTCACCTCCGTGGGCGAACGGAAGCGGTTGGCGCGCGGCTGCAAGACACGTTGGCTTAGCGCCGTGTATGTGTTCTGTGTTTTCTTCTCTGTCCCGTCCTGGATGCGCTATACCTCGAACAACATGAATAACCAACAAGCCCGCCGTGCAACCTTAGTTGGCCTCGGTTGTCTTCGAGTCTCTGCAGGCTTCGCACGCCTTCGGTGCGACGCTGCATACCTGTCGTCGTCTCTCCGGCGGCTCACGCGAAAGGCGCTGGGTTTTATTCTCTGCGCCCGGTGCCGCTGCAAGAATGAGTGACAGGTGCATGTGATTCTTCTCTTCTGTCCCTCTTGGTTTCCGCTCTACTACCGAGTGTTCTGTGGCTTCTTAAAAAAAACAAAAAGAAAACTGAATGAGCAATGACTACAGAAAGATGGAATAGTTCGCGGAAGATCCGCCGCTTGCGCCTGTATTCGTAATCAGTCCACCCAAGTTTCCGAGCGCGCATCTTTCGCCTTTCACTCACTGCCACGACAGGTGCGTTGCGGAATGTGCTATTTCACTGGACCCAAGGACACGCCAGCTGTCTTAAATACGGTTCCTCATTTACAAGAGCCACAAACTCATCTTTGGGTCCACTTTGCACGCACGCAAGCATAAACACTTACGCAAGTGTGATGCGCTGATTTTCGGGAATATTGTTGCTCTCTGCCGGCGACTGATGTCGCCCCTCAGCCATGCACTGTAACTATAGTCTACTATACTCTAGTACACTCTAACTGTAACTGTATATAGAGTTACGCACTGCGTGGTATGCGAGCCGCCCATTCGCTTTACAGCATTGCGGATTGGGAAGATTGCGAACGCACGAGCTCTGCGAAACGTTCTACAGAGGAGACACATCATGAGACGCGAGGACTGCATATCCTCTGCTCCCCAAGTCACGGCATCGTATTGCGTGCTAGTTGCCTCATCATCTTCACAAACGTTCTTGCGCATGAACTCAATGATGTTCTTGTTGACAAAGAACCTCTCGGGCCGACTGCTGGTCCTTTCACTGCGACATTATCGGCCTCGCCACTTCGCGGCACAGAACCATTGGGAGTGCGTCAGAAATAAAGGCTTGGCCTGCTGGGGTATGCATTAGAATCTGTTTGATTTTATAAAGGACACGAAAGATTAGTTTAATTCAGTTCAAAATATTTTACTGCAGCGACAGAATCATTAAACTCGATTGGGCAAGTGATAAAAAAAAAAACATTGAGGCAGCTTCGCACACGTGGCCAAGCACGGAGGAAAGAGAGTGTTGTTTCCTTTCTTCTATATGGGTGCCAAGCCTGACAGGAGTGCGGTGCTGTTTGTATGTTGCGGTGCTGTTTGTATGTTAGTTTTTTCTTCAATATATATACGTACCCACTCTGGGGGATTGGCAGGTTTCTTTTTTGCTCCTTGGTTTTGTTGTTCTTTCATCCTTTCTTTCTTCTCGTTCTTTTTTCGAGTTTTCTTGTTTTTTCTTTTTGTTTCTATTTATTCGTTTTTCTTATGAAAATTTTCTCCTTTTCTATTTCTCGTTTGCTTCCCGTACATATTTCATTTTTTCACGCACTTTTGTCTACGTTATGCCAAGCGATGACAGCTCGGGCCCTAATAGTTGTACGCTTAATACCGTAAACAGTGAAATAATATATCTTATTGCGTCAGACTTTAAGATCGTTGTCATAAGAATTACAAAACTCGCTTATTGAAAAAAATATCGGACGCAGCTAATTGCATGGAAAATAATGTATTTCTGTAAAGCCCCTCTGTGGAATAGAAAGTAGGCAATTAAACATTGCGGCCACTGACCAAACTGAAAGAATTGACTCTTTTTGTATTTGTCGGCGGAAGTAATGTGAAGGGAGGAGAGCGTACCGTTTAGGAACTACCCATGGGTGCTATATGTGCCACAAAGAAATTAACGAAATAGGCAATTAGTAAAGCCTACTTCAATAAAAGCTAATTAGTGTGCGTCTAACGTTTGTGGACGTCCGGCGCTCCTGGTATTTTACTTCTGGATATAATTTTTTTCTTGCATGCAAATCTGACCATTAAAAATTTTCGGAAGTCGTATAAAAGCCACACCGCTGTGGCTAAATGCGCGTACGCTATTTCCAACCCGGCGACACGCTCTTCGAGAAAGCGATTTCCTCATAACGGGACTTGGCATGCGTGCTGCCATCTGCCTCTTCTTCCTTCAACAAACGCTCGCGGGTAAATTGAAAAAGCGTTCTTGTGTTACATCGATTATGACGACATATTCTATTCGCAAAGCACGCAGTTGGCGATCGAAAACCGCGTTGGCTTTTCAAGTCGTAATGCTGCCCACGGCATACTTCAATAGCGCACATCCGATGCATCTGACGCTATACTGCTAAAAGCTAGAGAATGCCCGTCATGGACCGCAAGTCTGCTACCATATAAATGTAGCGAAAGAATGTGCTTGCAAATGATAGCAAGCAATATGGACATGTGTTGATTGATATGTGGGGTTTAACGTCCCAAAACCACTGTACGATTATGAGAGACGCCGTAGTGGAGGGCTCTGGAAGTTTCGTCCACCTGTGGTTTTTTAACGTGCACCCAAGTCTGAGCACACGGGCCTACAGTACTTTCGTCTCCATCTAAATATGGGCATGGGTTAAAACGCTATCATTCCCTATGTGTCTATTAGGCAAGTTGAACGTAGTCGTGAAACAAACGTCGTAGAGCGTATGAGATCATTGAGATTGTTCGCACGGTTACTTATCGGTGAACTTATGATTTTTTTTTATTTTGTCGGCAAACTTTTTGTATACGCATTGTATACACATTTACACAAAATACACTTTTTAACAAAATGAGAATTCAACTATAAAATGCTGCTTATACATCGCCAAGTTTTGCGAATAACTAGCAAGATTTGTTGCACTGCAGTGTTGTTAACTTACTTAGCGAGACGTTTGCGCTTTCAGGCAAGATATTTCAGCACCACTTAGCCCAATGCGTTTCACTACCAACTCGGGGGCATGATCCTGACCGTGATGGTTGTGGTTATGTACAAGATACATTAAATGAAATCGTTTTTTGACCTCCTGTAATGCTGGCTGTGGAACTAGCACTATAAGAAATGCAGCTATAGTAGTTCAGGAGTGCCGTGCTACGCTAGCGAACTATAACAGAAATCAGCTGTTGCAGCCAGAAGCTAGCAGAAGACAATCCCCGAATACCCTGGACCTTAGCACCGCTCCTATCAGTATCATAGTGATTGATAAGGGCTAAGTTTCACATTGGTGACCATCTTGTTTTGCATACATGTTCTACCAACTAAGCTGAGCGTGGGTGTAGCCCGAAATTTTATTCGGGGGGGGGGGGGGGAGGGAGGCGAGCAGACTTTATGTATGTTTTTGCTTGCGTTTTTACGTATGTGTGTGCGTGCGCACATGTATGTGTGTATGCGCACATACATAATAAAACCTTCTTGTGGAGAGGTAAAGACAACCCTACGCCCCTGTAGCTATACATATGAACATGTGAAAGTCTACCACCGCACCAACATCCAACTTACGCTCAATGTCGAAAACGTCGCCAGGTGGTCCATGCAGTATTCACGGTGCTCGGCCGCTGACGCCAAATACGACCAAGGTCGATCAAATCCGTGGCGGTCTCGTTTCGACGAAAGCAGGATGTTTCAGGGCCTTTATACTGTGCCTTAATTGTCAGTGTACGTTGAAAAACCCCGTGAGGTCGAAGCTCTGCGGAGCTTTCGCTAATATGGCGTCTCTCATAGGCTGAGTCGTTTTGGAATGTTAAACTCTACAAACAATCACCATTACCTGGAGCCGTTGCACATCGGAACTGGCGTCTAAATATTCAAACATGTTTTTATTTTCGTCCTTCATTTACACGATAAACTGAAAAAAAGGAGACAAAAAAAAAAGCTGCTTCGTCGCAGCTTGACAGAGTTCCTGCCACCTGTACATATGTATCATACAGCAAAATGCATAAGCATAAATTAAATACAGAACAAACCATCTATGCTCAATTTACACTCAAGTGGCCTTGCAGAACGTCTGTGTAGCACAGTATGAAATAAAACAGTAAAAAACAGTACGAACAACAAGAACAGCGCTGAAACTACACCGCGACATGTATTTACGTTATACTACAAGTTCTAATACACCATTTCGTCATACCAGTTGTGATAATGAGACGCACTTTCATGAAATTATGATTATTTATTTCAGGTGCAGAGATTTTTTCATAAATAATTTTTATAATAATAAATTGATAATATCAGTGTTGGATAAAACCGTGTATTTTTACAGTAGTAAGTGCCTATTGGACCAAATTTGAACAAATGCCGTAGCTGCCGCTTCCTGAAACGTGGCTCAACGGTTCGCAACTCATCTCTCAGCAGAATATTGTTAGTGGGCACGGTAAGTGGTAACGTTTACTGTGATTGCTCTTTGTCCAATGCGGTCGTATTCTACTCTATTCAAAAGCCCTTACTGCTGTGATTTCGCTATTGCGGTAATAATATTTCGAACGCAATTCTTTTTTGTTTGATGCTGAGCTACGGCATCGATAATGTTTGTAACTATGGCTTCGATAGCGTATTCTATGCCGTAACAGCAAACATTCTGGCATCAAGAGTTGACCAGTTGTTTCACCGTAAGATTACGGCGATATTTTAACAGCGACCAACATACTCACATTCACACGCTTCACAACCAACCAGTCTACAATTATCTCAATAAAAGCCCTTCCTTATACGAATAACTACGCGCAATTACAATATCACACTCGACGATCCGTTTCCCTTAAACGGCGCTTTCACGGTACGAGACAGGCAGCATTTTTACGGCGTGGAGCTCTCGCTGGCGCTTCCTTCACGTGGTGCAGAGCCATTCCTTGAACGCATAGTGGGACATGGTCGCGATACTGGACCTGCCGTTGCTGCATATCAGGTCGCCTCTGGCATTGAGTACCACAAGCGTTGGTATGCCGGAGATCTTGTACCTGGCCTTGAGAGTGCTGTCAGAGAGATATGGCAAACAATGCAAGTGCGAGTGGCAGTAGGGAACTACTGGCTGTTTCAGCTAAACAGTGTCTATACAACCAGTGCTACTACTACCAATACTGCTATTGCTATAGCGCTACTACTGGTACTACAATGACGACGACGAAAACAATAACAATGTTGATTTATCTTTTATGAGAATCGGCCATTGCGCAAAAGTGAAACACGCGTTTTCATTGAAGCGGTTGCAGCTTTATTGGATGTGAACAAATACAAGTTCAGAAGTTTTCACAGGGTCTGTTTCAGGAACATGGCAGTATATATAATGCGCGTTTTTAATGGGGAAACTTCATAAGCGATGTGAAATATCCCGGGTGGTCACGAAGCTCTTGAATATGTCTTATCACTCACAACAGTAATGGGTAAACACGAAAGTGAAAAGTGTCTTCGCAGTGGTTGTTGAGCGGTTATTGTGCGTTGTTTCACCACAAGGGGAAAAATGAATGGTATAGCTGCGAATTGTGATGTCATGCGAACAACGGCAAGCAGCTCGAAACTTGCTGCTCCCTCCTTAAATATAAAGGTCGTACGAAAAGAACATACACGCACAAGACGAGCGCGAACTATAGCAACTGTCGCAGCTCGACGTTTGAAGTGTACTGCTCAAGTATATACACGCAAGTATATACAAAACGAGCGCATTGTGTGAGCAGCGTGCTCCTTTCGCAAGCGCGGCCGCTGCAGCGAGCGAAATGGCGTTCGTTCTTTCTGTAACTTCAACGCACACTTTTGGTGAGAGCCCAAGAAGTACTGTGTCAATTTTTATGAAAGGGAACAAGCGAACGCGTGGCTCACGCGCTTCGACGGCTGCTTGTAGCGCGTTCAAGCGGGAGTGATGGCAACCACAGTTTCTGTTCCCGTCATCTAGTGGCGACCAAAAAAACCAGTCATTGGTGATATGCAACTGGCGGCAAGATTGCAAGCCCGTCCCCCTTCAAGGCGATTACACCCGGCGTCTCACGTAATTGCTATGAAAGGGAGGAGGTTGCTGTCTTGCCGCTGGTTCGATATCACCAATGACCGGTTGCTTTGCTCGCCACTAGATGACGAGAATACGGGCTGTGCCTGCTGTCGCTCCCGCATGAATGCCCTACAAGCAGCAGCCGGAGCGCTCGGGCCACGCGTTCACGTGTTCCTTTCCATAACATTTGACACTGTACAAACCACCTGGATTGTAAGATAAGCGTGGGTGCACGAGCGTTCACGCCCTGTTGAGGCGCGCTCATCGCAAAGCACGGGCAATGACTTTTAAACGCCCTGCGAACCCCTCGCGCAATCTCGCCTGCTATAAAAAGAACGCGTGAAAGTAAATAATCTCTGAAGATCGTTGGCAAGCTCAAGAACGTGCGCTTCGCGGTTGATTCGGTTCGCGCTGCGAAGCGAGAGGTCGTACGTTCGTCTCTCGGTGACGGAACTTTTTCTTCCAGTACTTTCATTGCCATCTCTTAATGAATATTTCACAGTATCATGTCTGTGACGGAACTACGTCAGGGGCGACGGCGGACTTGGTATAAAATACTTTTGTGTTAAAAGAAAGGGAGGGGAAAGAGAGAAAAAAAAAACGAACAGAAACAAGGAAGACTCCGCACTTCCTTCTGGCTGGGGGCACCCTTAGAGCGAAACTGCCTTAACTTTTGCTTTTAAAAGAGCCTCTCTTAAGCTATTTATAAGCTTAAGTACATTCTATGGCATACTCACAACTGCAGTGGGTCACCGTAGGGAAGCACAGGCCAGTTTTCGTGGCTGTTATTCACGAAGGCGTTCATTTCGTCCTCACTTCGGTCGGACGACACGAACACTACCTGCACCGAGAAATTGCTGCTGAGCGTGAGGATGAGTGTTCGACTGCCAGCGCCGCGGCGGCAGATAACCGTTAGGAGCGAAAAAGCGCAGCAAGTATGGGCTTAAACTTTATCCCGCTTTAAGGGCCCGTCAACGGGCTCCGAATTTTTTTACACCCCCCAAAGAAGCTCGGCAATGCGTAAAGTAGACCGTTGTGATCATGTTTTTCGAATATTACAGTGATGCGCGCCGCGCAAAGCCTCCTTTTTTAAAAAACAATTCCCGGGATCCTTTCCTACGCCTAGCCAATCTTTTCTTTTTTTTTCACGCACATTGACGCAGAGTCGCTGACCGGTGACTTGACGTAGCACGCATATCGTCTATTGGTCTAAACCAGTCGCGAAGAAGGCGCTACGCCTTTCAATGCCTGTGAAGAAGGGTGGCGAGGCCGCGCGAAAATTTGAAACCATGGCAACTGAAACCGATGTTCTAGCCCTTGCAACTTCCTTAATGTAGCACGCTTTCGCAAAACTCTTGCAGCAGCATGTTCACAAAGCAAAAATGCACATATTTCTCTTTAAACTAATTTACGGTCCTCGGAATTGTTTAATGGCCCTTTAAAGGACCACTGACACGGCTTGAAGACACTGTAGAGGCGACATTTTTTGTTTCCATATTATGTACTGTCAACACCCCCCACACACCGGAATCAGACTAGACGTATAAAGATATTTTAATTTCAAAGATTTGTCACTGAGCATCTGCAAGCCAGTTCTTATGAAATGGATATTATCCCTACCAGTGAAGACAGTTCTAAATTTGTGAGCTCCGTGCCCTGTATGTCACCTAGATCGCAGAAATTGTTGTCGGGATCACTGAACGACAATTCACTCCTCTTTATTTGCGTGCACCACGAGCAGACGAGATTTGCCGTCAGTATATTGGCAGCTGCGGCCTTCTCGTGACGTCACACTGCTATTGATTGATATGTGGGAGTTAACGTCCCAAAACCACCATATGATTATGAGAGGCGTCGTAGTGGAGGGCTCCGGAAATTTTGAACACCTGGGGTTCCTTAACCCAAATCTGAGCACACGGGCCTACAGCGTTTCCGCCTCCATCGGAAATGCTGCCGCCGCAGCTGGGATTCGATTCCGCGACATGTGGGTCAGCAGCCGAGTACCTAAGCCACTAGACCACCGCAACGGGGCCGTCACACTGCTATTGCACGTCACTGAGAAGCCACCCTATCGTCATCAAAACCGAAAGTGTATTTTAAAGGTAGTAATAATCAAAAGAAATTTCTTTTCATCCTTTAGCGTTATGACAAGCATCTCTTCGTACCTCGATGGGCAGGCCTTCTTCCTTTGCTTCGCGGTAGGCGGTGGCCAGTATCGGCGTGAAGGTAATACATGGAGGACACCACTCGGCCGCGAAGTAGAGGCAGATGAGGCGCTTGTTGCGCAGCGCGGCCTCGGCCGTGATGGTCGTGCCATCCTTTCTGACCAGGGTCTTGCCCCGCAGCGAGTTCATCGGCGATGTTCACTGAAACGCGCGCATCGCAGTGGTGACGTGGAAAGGGATGTACGAATGACGAGGAGCACCTAGACGGGCGTAAAGATAGTTACGTTATGCAACTCATTTGACGAAGAAAAAAGAAAAGTGGATTTGATGGGAGACGGTAACAACGTGCGTCAAGTGTATACCGATTCGGGCATAAAGAGCATTCAATAAATTTAGTTTTCAATTAGGACTTTCTCGGACTCTGACTAACCAACACTTCGCTGAACCGAACTCGCTTGAACTCGGTGGTGTTTTCGTTAACAAGACCCAATCGGACTTATACTCGCCAAAAATTGCCGCAAGTGGGCTGACTGGGACTCGCACTCGACTCAGACTCATCAACGTTTGTTTGTTTCTTTTTTTATTCAAATTCACTCGTTCTCAAACTCGCGAAAATCTTCGATCCTCAGCTGGACTCACTCAGACTCACGGATATTTGCCTCAAGCTGACTCCCTCCAACTAACTCACCGCTCAATCTGAATCTGACTGAGTCGACTCGCGTGTTTGCCGGCACATCATAGAAAGACCAACATTTCGGCGCACACACGCATAATGCTTAAAGGTCCGTGGTTGCCGCCATTGACTCCGCTTGTGAGCGCTTGTCCGCAACGATATATGGACGCTAGCCTTGCCGCTGACGCATGCGGCCGCAGATATTGTTTGTTACAAGATCAGACACTTTCGTACGATGACAAATTATTTGGTCACAGGTTGCGCCCTAACGCACCTGACTAAGCCACGGATCTAATGTCAGCGTTACGTCGTCAAAGTAAACGTCATTCACATTATTCTACATAATAATAGACACTATACATTGATCTAACATTTAAACACGTTATACATCATTTTACCTTATATTATGCGTTATATCAGAAATGCTGACCTGATCTGGTAGGATGTAGCACCAGGCCCGGCCATGCACTTCTTCATCTTCCTTCTTCTTTATATGCCAGCAGTGTGCCTCAAAGCTTCAAGCGTGTTTGTATAGTCAAATTCTGTTTTATTTCCAACACACGATTGGATATAATTGAATAAGTTTATTTCTTTGACGTTTTCATATATTAACGCGCTAGCGTTGAAGACGTCATTTCGCAGAAATGTAAATGTCGGCGTTCGTATCCGCGTCGTTGGTTATGAGCAGGGAATATCATCTCGCCCGTGGTCAGCGAGATGCAGATAAAATACACAATAAAAACTGGGTAGTTGTGAAGCATGTATATAGGGAAGAGCGTTTCAGCTCCACTAACGTGACACCGGGGAAGGGGCGAAGCATGCAGTGTTTTGAGATAGATTTCCTTGATGAGGAACCGGTGGTTATGCCAAGCCTGAAACCGCTGATGTGAGGAAGGGTGTTCCGCTCCACTGATGTCGTCGGAAAACTGCTTCAAAAGGCAGCTTGATGATGATGATTATGATGATGATGATACCTCAACTGTGACTCACACCCGCTCAGGAGGATTTGCCAAGAATCGGTTATATGAATTTTCAGGCGTTTCAAGTAATAAATAATCCCATCCAAGAAAGAGGAAAGAACGTACTTAGAAACAGAAAGAACGCAATAATTACTTTTTGTCATTCAGACCAGACATTATAGGCTATAGATTGAATATACATTGCAGTAATATCTAACAATTTTGAAATATGTTTTGAATCAGCTCATTAATGCTAAATAATACATATATCAAAAAGAATTTAGAGGCGCATTCATTCCGTGTTTTGAAGATAACTGCAAACGGCATCAAAGGTGTTCCTGTGGCAGAAGCCCAGAGCCGAAGCACCAAAGGTAAGTATATTACAGCGAAAGCTGTTATGGGATAATAATCCGGGTCTCGCGCAGTGCCGTAGTTGTCCGCCGCCGCCGGTGTCCGTAACCACATCGCGCGATATTAGGAAAAAAAAAAACCTAGTACCAATGACACAGTGAGGCTCGAGCCCGTGTCCGCTGAGTGCTAGTCCAGTATTCTACTACAGAGCCACGCCGGTGTTAGGGACTTGTTGGCAAACCTGCCTTAGGCAGGCTTCATGTCGGCGAAGCGATCGCGTTATTACGATTTATAAAGGCCAAACCTCATAAGCGCGAAAATGCACGCGACAGCGACAAGCGACGCGACGTAGATCGGCTTCGCGCGATCAGTCGCTAGCGCAGGCAAACCTCATTCACGCGACGGCTTCGGCGAGCGAATTCCACTGTTGCTGGCATGAGGCCGTCTACTCGCACCAAGAAAACCGCGTAGTGAGCGGTATGCAATTTAAAAATAAGATATATTGTTGTGTAATGAAACGGAAAGTGTTTATTATTGCCTTGCAGCACTTTTTTATATGCGCATGCGTAATAAACATTGCGTTATTTCTTGTTGCGCATACATGACTCGGGCAGGGTCACGTGCACCTACGTAGTCTTTGTCTTTTCCGGTTTTTCGCTATTAGCTGCTTGAGCCCAGCACTTCCGGGCGATGAGCGACGGTTTCCAAATCTGGAGAACCCAGCGATCGCGCGAAAACGAGCACGCGACACGTCGCGCGAACGCCCTGTTTCGTCGCTCATAGCGTCGCTCGTCGCTGTCGCGTGCATTTTCGCGCTTATGGAGTTTGGCCCTAAAGCGTTTCAAAACGGCGAAAGAACAAGCAGTCGTCGCACAATGCGAATAGCGTAAGGAGTGGGTTGTCCAATGCTCCAACCCATTACAAAAGCTTGTTTTTGTTCACCTATTAACTGTGGCGAATACCCACTTCAGGCATAATTCCTCATCGTCGTCAGCCACTGCATGGACAATTGGCGCGAAATTCCTCGCAATAGTTTAGCGTATACCACGTATACCACGCTTCTCAGAAGAATGACAAAAATAGCATAGCGAATGTCGTACCTACTACCCCAAAATTTTTATTAATACCGTAGCGGGCATCCAGCAAGTGAGCTTGCGGCAGTTACACAATGAGTGTTTTGAAAAGGCTCTGAAAGGCCGCTCTTCCAGCTTTCGTTGTGACTGTGCTGGCGCCTTCCACACAGGCCTGGCGTTTTTCTCAATGGTGAAGGTCGACCCTTGGTTAGCTAGTCAGATGACAAGGAGTCGTTTTCTTAACAATCTGTGACGGTGACATGACAAAAAATAATGCTCTATTGATTCTGTTTCTGAACAAAAGCTACATAGGGGAGATATCACCAGACCAACTCTGTATGAATATAAATTCAATTGAGGCACACGACATCGTAATCTAGTTAACATGACTTCCAGTTGTCTAGTATGACACTGTTCAGTTTTCCATTGCAATTTTAAGTGTCTAAATTCGGTCCATGATGTTGGGAAACGCGGCGTGAAATCTGCCCCTATTTTTTTATTATTGAAATGGAAAATAAACGAATGAGTTTTTGTCACCTTTACTTAGCGATGGCTACCCCTTTCCACTTGATTAGTACAAATAAACAAAATATAAAAAGCATTAGCAAAAATACATATATACAGTACTACATGGTTGAAAGCAAAAGTTCTCCTATGGGCAGAAGAAACACGTAGACGCCACCCTCACTTTTAAATTTTGTCCGCTCAGTAATACATTGCCTTAATAGAAGGGGAAGGAATGTTGTGATTACCCTCTCCCCCCTCCGTGAGAAAAACCCTGCGCACGCCAATGCGTCGTAGTAATCAAGAATGAAAGCGAACGCGGAGAGAGAATTACCAAGGGACGCCGCCCGAGGCTACGAAATGGCGTCACATCATTCGCAATCTGCGTCGCCGAAGCAGAAGGTGATCGCCGCCGCCTCAAAGAGGACCCTGCAGTTCTAGCCAAACGAGAATATATTCACCACCGCTCCCCGCAGAACGTGGCGAATAAAAAGGTGCGTGCAATTGCACTCAGGGTTTGAATTGGGGAGCATCGTAATCGCAGTTGCCACATGCTACCGATATAGCAAGCAACCTATCATCGCAAGAGAAGACCCCTAGAAAAGGAGGGTGAGAAAGTCGACAGAAAGTCGACAAGGTCGACTTTCTCGGTAAAGCCCAAAGGTACCTAAAATTTTCTTATGTTCTCAAATTAACGAAATTAAATTTTCCCATTCTTAAAAAGTATCTTTAAGTATAGTAAAATAAACGTCACTCACACAAGGGTTGTTGAAGAAATCGCTTAAATTATTTTAACGGGTGCAATATTGAGATGGGAACATACAACGCTGGAGGTGGGACGGTATACAGGAAAAGGAATGAAAAGAAGAGAGAGAGGAAAGGCAGGGACGTTAACCAGTTTGCAAAACTAGAGCTACTGTATATGCTAACGTTACCTAAACGTAACATATACAGTAACTCTAGGCATATGCTACTCGCTCAGGGGGAGAAGATTGGGAAGATTGAATAGATGAAAGAAATGGAGCGATACACTACCCGTGTCCTGTGATGTTTGCTGCCGGCTTAATAGTGCATCAACCAGCTAGGTTAGGAGCACTCCTGTAGCAAATTATGAATGAAATGCAAGTACGCGAAATCCCGCGCAACGACCCAAATAACCTTGTAATTTTCTGCAAGCATTCGGGGAGGGGGGTCGGTTGTTCACATCATGTGCGCAATATTTATATGTCTGTATTATATAGATATATGTACTGCCATCCTGTTGGGGCAATCATTATGTGTGCAGTAGACAAAACCTTGTGCACAGATTGACCAGAAAATTACAATAGAGTCGTCGTCGATCTCGCGAATAAAGTTTGCCACTGTACACCGGTTTTTTTTCTTTAGCTATATACTCGTTTTTTTTTAAATCAAAACATGAGTGTTTATTCGTGGCGACGCCTTCCGTCGGGCTCCCTTGCAGGTTCATATGCAGCTAAGCCAGTCCTTGAACGCCTTGTAGCCCTTGGTCTGGACGTCGGGCCTGCCGTTGGTGCTCACGAGTGCCCCGTCCGCCTTGACCACCACCAGTGTAGGTATGCCGGCCACCTTGTACCGGGCCCTGAGACCGCTGCAGATGAGGTAAACCAACAAGCGCGCTGAGGCATTCGCAATCTTTTGCCGCAATGTGTTCTTCATAGTGTACTGTGGATGTCCGCGCACGTTAGAGGGGCACTGACACGAAAAAGTTTAGTTGTCATTTTTTTTGCGTCAAATGAAGGGACAAGTTATCCAGAGTTTACAGTATGTTCTTGAATGCTACTTTTGGTTCCTACTGTACCCTGACGGGAACAACGTGGTACGAACTTCTCGTAACGCGCTCGCGCAAGTAATCGTGACGTCAGCACGGCCGCTGGGCACTGTGGCTCATTTGGGGAAGCACAAATGGTCGTTTTGAATGTTTGGTGACGCACAAGCGGCCATTTCGAAAGTTTTGAAGCCTGACGCCATCACAACTAGCCAGACTGAGGTGGGAAGTAATGAGAATTCCTTCTGTAGCGCGACATCAGGCTAGGGTCGATGTCGGCAGGTACGCCATTGAAAAGTGACCTTAATATCAAAATAGAGTATCTTACCAGCATTTTCTGAGCCTCACGCTTTCTCAGAGTCGCCTCTTTCTGCAGAATATTTGTATGGTAGTGTCACCGCACCTCATAAAAAAATGGTGGCGGTACCTCTTCAAAGAATTCCGGTAGGGCAAAGTTATCTGATGTTCTCTCTCTCTCTCTCTCAACTACGATGTCTCTTATTGCCAGAGTTGCTTCGGGACGTAAAACGCCATAAAACAACCAACTAACTATCCTGTATCCGTTAGGAACTAGACAGATTGATGAATTCTTTTATTAGTGAAAGGGAGACCTGAATGTGTATGATGGATAGAGTGGGGCAGGGGTGGTAGGCACACAACTAGATGACGCGTACCAAGCCGCTACTAATTAGGAAAGGGGCTAATGTGACAAGCTGATGAGAGTTCTCGAGTATGTCCTTTTGTACCGCTTCCAAATCGGTATGTAGAAAAATGTCGTTGTTCTTTCGCTGATGATGTAGGGCAACCGGAGAGTGTAGAATGAAGTACTCCATGTTGGCTACGCACAAAGGATGGCAAGAAGGTACATATGCAGTTTCGCCCGAGATGCGAAACACTGGTAGCGATATTGCAAATTAGTCAAGCGTAATCCCGCAAGGAGGCGGAATGGTTATGAAAGGGAGAGCTTACGACCACACGTTTGTGGCAGAACTCAATGTCTGTATTCTGTATCCATGTGATTGATTGATTGATTGATTGATTGATTGATTGATTGATTGATTGATTGATTGATTGATTGATTTGTGGAGTTTAACGTCCCAAAACCACCACATGATTATGAGAGACGCCGTAGTGGAGGGCTCCGGAAATTTTGACCACCTGGGGTTCTTTAACGTGCACCCAAATCTGAGCACACGGGCCTCGACATTTCCGCCTCCATCGGAAATGCAGCCGCCGCAGCCGGGATTTGAACCCGCTACCTGCGGGTCAGCAGCCGAGTACCTTAGCCACTAGACCACCGTGGCGTCGATTTGGGGACTGATTCGCCCTCGAACTGCAAAATGCTAGCATCCTGGTTAGCTCAATTAGCAATGTGACCGCCGTGAAAAGGCGTTGGTCCAAGGTTCGATCTCAGGACCTGGACGAATTTTTTTTCAACTGGAAGCTCTCTTTTTTGGGAAATGTGTGTCGATTTTTTTTTTGTGGCTTCGTGCCTGAAGGGTTGGTTGTGACATATTCCTTTCATAACTGACCGCAATATGATTGCAATAGGCAGATGTATAAAGCAAGGTTCCTAGATTGAGGGGAACGACAGGGCTTAAAATAAGGACGAAGGAAGTAGAAATGACAAAACGGGCGCTGAGTAACAACGTTTTTCTTTATTGCATGAAGGTAATATACGGAAACGAAAACAGCCTTCCCCGTATGTGGTACACCACACGACCCAATCTAAGCAAAGACGATTGAAAAAATCTTTTAGTCGTGATTAAGACGCAATAAATACGGGCACCCTCTTTTTGTGCTGGTAAGCTGACGTTTTCTTTTTGTGTGTGCGTGTGCGTTGATTGATATGTGGGGTTTAACGTCCCAAAACCACTATATGATTATGAGAGACGCCGTAGTGGAGGGCTCCGGAAATTTAGACCACCTGGGGTTCTTTAACGTGCACCCAAATCTGAGCACACGGGCCTACAACATTTCCGCCTCCATCGGAAATGCAGCCGCCGCAGCCGGGATTCGAACCCGCGCCCTGCGGGTCAGTAGCCGAGTACCTTAGCCACTAGACCACCGTGGCGGGGCTGTGCGTGTGCGTGTGCGTGCATGTGCGTGCGTGTGCGTGCGTGTGCGCGTGCGTGCGTGCGTGCGTGTGTGTGTGTGTGTGTGTGTGTGTGTGTGTGTGTGTGTGTGTGTGTGTGTGTGTGTGTGTGTGTGTGTGTGTGTGTGTGTGTGTGTGTGTGTGTGTGTGTGTGTGTGTGTGTGTGTGTGTGTGTGTGTGTGTGTGTGTGTGTGTGTTGCGACGTGAATTGAGAATGCCGTAAAACATCGTATGCTCGAAAAGAACCGTTTTCGTGCGCATGCGTCTACGTTAACGCTGTTTGGTCGATTGTTAAAGACACAAAACACAAAAGATAACAGCCCAACAAGACCCCAATGAAACTCATTCGTAAAATATATTCTATAGCAACGTGAATAAAGGCCTTAGACAGGTGGCACGATTAACGTAACGTGGCAGGGATCGAGAAATATTATAAAAAATCTTGACAAACTCACGCCTGCAGCGCGTCTCCGTAAGGAAGCGCAGGCCAGTCTTCGTGGTCGCTCTTCACGTAAGCGCTCATGTCGTTAGCGTTTCGGTCCGACGACACAAACACCACCTGAGTGTCGAGAAGGCGCGTCGTCCTATTCTGTCGAGCCACACATAGCAAATCATGTTGCTTCGCAAGTACCGCTTGACACGCGAGCGTCCTGCATGGGCTGTTTAACTCTTTCGTTACCGTAGGAAAACTGGCCACCACGTTTTGCAGAATTCAGCAGTGTTCTTTTTTATGAATAATATTACAAATATAGTCGAACACTATATGTCAAAATGAAGCTAAGTGATTTTACTTTTCAATGGTGTTACTTTAGAAACTAATAATAATGCATATAACTTTAACATATTTATGAAAAACAGGATTTGTTGTATATATATTGCATAGAACATTTCTAATTTGGTGCTCCCACCATGAAATATAAAAAATGCCAAACATCGTCTGAAATGCAAGAAATGGTTGCCCAGCAGTATATCATTTTACAGGATAGGCTGAATGATCTGTAGCTCAAAAAGTGTATGGGTTCAGTTTTTTGTTTGCTGTGTGAAAATTTCATTATTCCGTGAGATGAAAAAAAAACCATCCAAGAACACAGGTCAATTTAGGCTCGAGCGCAGCACCCCTGTATACGTTTTTTTTTTTATCGCAACGCTTCCATGTTTCCCTTGCTGTCGTTTTTTCTCAAATTATTTTATCAAGTTACGGGGTTATATTTTTTCCCTCTACAAATTTTCTAAATGCTGTAATATACAATTGATATAACCAAAAAAGAAATTTGACATTCAGCGACAGCTCTTTTAAAATTTTATGCTAAATAGCAGCCGACAAAAAGAAGTCAGATACCAAACGGTAGCATTGAACAACGCCCTAAAACATACTAAAGTATGACTTCACTGCATGCAGTAAAATATTTTAAACGTCAGGCTAAGAAGGCGCCTCCACATTTTAATGTCCGAAAGTATCAAGACATTTGGATCTGGGTCTGAAAGCTCAAAAATGTAGAAACATATTTTTGTGTGAGGTTGATGAGCCATTGGTTAGAACAAGCTTTACTGTTGACATTTGTGTGTAATCAAGTCCTTTTTTATCCTCAGAACAACTTGGGCATCTTCTCTGCTCCGTGAACTGGTGAGACATGTTCTGAATGAACTTCTTTTTAGAAAATCGTGATCACCGAAGCTCGATGAAGGCCACACTGATTGAAAGACAAATGAAATTCATTATCTCTGTGGCCGTAACCATTTCCCAAGGATCAAAATCCTGGGCATGAGACTGTTTCTACAGTATTACCAACCATGCATAACTAAATTTTGTTCACGCAAATACTGTTTTTTACTTCCTCTGTGAAAAAGTTGCCCAGAACACCGATTTTTCTCGTGACACACATCGATTCACCGCGGAGTCCTGTTCTGAGGTTGTGGCTTGGCTGAATGTCAGTCTTTGCTGGCCCAAGGCGATGTCAACAAATCTCTACCATATACTGTTGAGACAATACAAATAAAAGATAGAATAGTGCTGACATCATCATGGCTATTCAATTGGCTGATAAAACTGATGTTCTGGAAACTGAATCGTACCGATCAATGACCAAATAAATATCGGGCTCTTCTACGGTTTCATTATCCGAAATGTATTTTGATTTCGCATTATTATCAATCAACTCCGCTAGGAAAACGGACGCTACAAAAATGCACAAAGACCAACATTACCGAGGGCGTCGTCTCATTACAGGGTAGCCTGCCACCCTTGATAACCAACCAAGCGAACCGCTATCTTTGGATCGTTGTTTAAGATAACCGCTGCTCGAAAAAAAATTAAACAGGAGACGAAGTGTTAGGGATTGCAGAATGTGCTAGGTGGCTGAAATGGTTGATAGGCGCGCCTGTATATTTAGTCTTGCTCGGCGCGTTCAGATTATCGGTTATCTACGTCATATAGCCGCCGTCATGAAACAATAAGGAAGACACGAGAGCGAAATACCAAGTCCGTTTGTACCGACAGATATTTTTTGGAGAACAAGATTGTCAACTATGCCGTCATAGGTTTCTTATTAAACATGAAAATAAAGATAAACGTCTTAATCCTGAATTTCATTCTACCGGACCTAAGAGGTTTAGAATTCGAGTGCTCGCTGTATAGGGTCCCTTTACATCACAGTGTTGACGCACGAACGCTTGAAACTATGCATTTTAATTAAGCATTGATAGTATTACCATATTGTATATTTCGTGGAAAACACGGTTAAGGCATCGCCGAAGATACTGCCTAACCACATAACCAATATTTACGCCATATCATACTGATTAATTACTGATACCGAGATTTTCTACGTGTTGCATTACATCGTGAAGTGAACTGAACTGTTTGTTGCAGCTGGTTTCTGGTTACTGGTGACGGTGGCCCTCTGCTGAAAGGAAAAAAACTGATTATTTCAGCGTTTATAAAAACAGCACGTCACACATACATTCAAACGCCGCAGTTCTCTTGTTAAATGTCTGCCCATTTCGCCTTATATTTCCCGTGCTAAAACTTTTTCTTTAACAAATGCTTACAATTAAATTCAACGCTATCTACCAAATCAAGTCGTCCTTGAGCGGAAATATTCAATTGTAAGTTAAAAAAAAAGCTTAAGTTCGAGAAAAAATAGAAGCAGCAAGAAATGAAAATTCTTGGATCCCGGGATATTGCTGGAGGCAACGTTTCGGTTAGCGGGCTTGTATTTTCAGTGCTGCAACCTTGAAGCCTGTAGTGGCAGCCTTGAATAAAAGTCTGATCGACGAAGCGTCGTCTCTGGAACACACATCGTTTTCACGAATTTTTCATATCTTCAAAGGTAAGCTGCATCTCCACACGCAAAGCCCGACACCAAAAGGGTCGAACAAGAGCACATCTTTAGTTGAAATCAAGGCTTCCACGGGCATCTGTCTGGTCGGGAAGAATCATTGAATATAAAGACAAGGATGCCAACCACAAGAGAATAAAAATGCCTTGGTGTTTCGGCACCCGGAGGCCGTGTACACAATCCAAGATTGCGCACAAAAAAAAGGGGGGGGGGGGGGGGGGGGCTCACGTTATGGGTACTGAAACGTCAATACATGTTTTGATTCTTTTATGGTTGGCGTCCTCGTATTTTCATTCACGTCTTATTCATGGTACGAATGACTTCCTCGAAGGTTCTCGCGAGCGACCTAGGACGTACCTCGATCGGCAGCCCTTCGTCTTTGGCCCTGCGGTACGCGTTGGCCAATATCGGCGTGAACACGCGACACGGTGGGCACCACTGCGCCGCGAAGTAGATGCAGATCAGCCGCTTGTTGCGCAGCGCGCCGTCGGCCGAGATGGTAGTGCCGTCCTTCTTGAGCAATGTTTTGCCCCGGAACAGATCCATCGTTGCGCAATTCGACGACGACTGAGAGGAAGTCCTGGAAAAAAGACGAAATGTGGACGGCTTCTGGCACACCGTGCTTTCCTTCTTTCTTCAAGTACTCGCCTTGGTGGCCTAATGCTTGATTTGCTCGACTGCTGATCCGAAGGTTGTATAGGTTCGAATCCCGCTCCATATGTGGCATGGCGCCAACACACATGGACGAGGGAGAGGCAAGGCAAGCGCTAACTTTCAACTTTTGTTTAGTTTCAAAAGGAACGCTTACAGCTGTGTCTACCAGAGGTGTATGCACAAGTTTGTTTTTTTTTTTCGGGAGAAGGGGTCATCTATTTGGTTTCAATGGGGGGGGGGGGGGGGGGGGGGGGGGCGCTTCCTTGAAATGGTAATATTTAGCTCTGTTATTGCTGTCGCGCAAAATATGCCCCCCCCCCTAAAAAACACAAGAAAGAACGTAGATGGAGCCCCTTTATTGTGGTTGTGTGCTTTCGCACTTTGAGATCAATAATGACGTCACAAACTCACCCAACAAGAAATTGGGACGTACAGCAACTCGCCAAAGAACACACACACGCGCGCGCACGCACGTACGCACGCGCTTGCACACACGCACACACACACATACACACACACATACACACATACATACACGCATGCACACATACATACACACATATGCCAGCCACGCCACGGTTGGTCTAGTGGCTGTTGGCCTGAGTTCTCAGATTTGGGTGCACGTTAAAGAACCCCGGGTGGTCAAATTTCCGGAGCCCTCCACAACGGCGTCTCTCGTCATATTGTGGTTTTGTGACGTTAAACCCCGCATAATAATCAAAGCTCAAGAACGCCACGCGCGAGATAAAATTTTTACACACACCATTGCAATAAATTTTAGGCCAGATATCGCAACATCCAGCACAAAGTTGCAGTCAAGTTGCGGTCAGAAAAGTGAATTCCTTATAAGCAGAATTGACAACTCATTTGCGCAATTATCTGCACAACTTTTGATGTAGAAGGTTTAGTTATGTGGCTTAAAGGGACACTGAAGGTAACTATCAAGTCGACGTTTATTGTTGAAATAGCGGTCCAGAAACCTCGTAGTGTTACTTTTGTGCCAAAGGAGGGCTTATTTTGAAATAAAATCGCGTTTTAGTGGCCCGCGTCTGGTTAGCGCACTTAACATTGCCCGCCTCAAGAAGTGGACCGACTCACGTCACTGTTTCTGTGCACAACGTTGCCCGGCTTTACTGCGCGGTCGCCGACACTAGTAGGTAGAACGAAAACAGCTGGAGCTGCAGCAGCAACATTGGCTATTGATCAATTTCCTGCCGTTGGCTCCGAGATAGCAGACGTGTTTTGGTTGAGCTGCGCCCCGCTAGATGGCACGACCTATCCAGTGTATTCACGCGTAAATTAAATTTTTGAACCACTAGCGCCATTCCCCATAGTAGCTTCTGGCGGTTCTTTTTTCCATGAACCAAACAGAAACGAACAAATATATATAGCATTTTATTGCGTCTCTTGATGCACGGAAGCTTTTTTATTTAGTGCAGCTAGATCTATTATTAGTGATTAATGGTAGGTGATTCGTCTGACGTCATCAGTATCATTTTTTAATGTCCTACGGCGGCGCATGCATTGTACATTCACCCTAATTTCTCGGTAAGTAGGGCACTGCTGTTGATAATATTGTGTTAGATGTTGTCATACCATGAGCTTTCACTCTGACGTAAATTGCTATTTTATTTTAGTGTCCCTTTAACGAGATTTCAGTGCCACACCACGCGGGTGGACGATGGCAGTTCTTGAATTCGCGGGGCTAGATGTGAGCGATTTTGCCTAATGACTTCTGATGTTCTTTAAGACTACTGTGTTAATGCATTGGTCAGTCTGACTGGTGTAAACATAGCCGCAGGTCAACATGACCTGCGAACTCTTTCCTGTCAGTGTCTGCGTTCCTTTCATCAGTGTAATTATAAACTCTTTCATGCGCAGAACTTCATTATAGGTGGGAAACATTTTTTTAATTGAAAATGGTGAAATCGTTTGGAGGAAATTCTTTTTTCAAACAAACAGTTAGCAACGTAAGTTTAAAATACATGAGGTGGTCACCTGAGGTGACTACCGTGCTTTGAGGGTTTACTGGTCACTTTCGGGGAAAGCTAAGTTCGTAATTTCTACAGTCCTTAGCAATATATAGCCACATATACTCATGCAACATGCTCTCCTGCACTGTCAACATAATGAGAACAGCAGATACGTTGTTGTCATTTTTACGTAACAATATTTATATAAATATATCAGGTACATCGTCTAGCGCGCCTTAAAGACGACGACAGCCGGAAACAAACATAACATGTCACATTGCAGCCCAAACGAAGTATATAGCATAATCTTTGTCAGATTTCCAAATGTTTTAAAATATGCGCCATTTAAGATCCGGCACGCGAGGCTCATGTGTTTCAAGAAGAAAAAAAAACTAAAAGGTGGTTACCTGGGGTGACCACCTTGTTGCGGAAAACATTAATGGGCTAGTTACCCTAGGCGACATATGAAACGAGCCTTCAGTGCCGCGAATAAAGGAGACTTACCTGCTCTAATAATCGATGAACAGTCGACGACTGGTTGAGCACTACGGATCGCGGCTTCCGATATCGTTGGTCTTCTTCTACGTTCACGTCTACATATGATCTGTCTTCTTAACAACGCCATTGGCTGACACAAATTTCGAGAATCAAGAATGGGGTGAATTTGACGACTGATATAATGCGACATTTAACATTATCTATGGATAAATGTTGAATGTATTTATAGAAAATGCGGCTTTGTATAGTGCAAAAATAAACGCGGGTCCACAGCGCTTGTTTTCTATCTTTTTTTTTTGTCCTCGTGTTTGCTGACACTAAAAAGATATGCAGCAAAGCCCATAGGTCGGTTTTGTTGCGAACGTATTGCCAACATAAAAAAATAGTACATCATACCTGATTTGTTCGAAAACTTGCCTACAGCTTTCCAAAATTTTATGTATTTATTTATTTATTCCGGCAACACCAAACACAGCTGTATATTTTTGTATTGGTTTTTTCAACCTCCTTGACTGCCATTTATAATTGATAAATGATTTAAATTGATATAGTTAAAAACGCCGGGCCTGTGCGGAAAGTGCAGCACAGTCACAGTGAGCCTTTTTTAAACACTCATTGGTAACTGGTGCAAACACACTTGCTCGATGCCCACTATGGCAATAATATAAAAATTTTAGAGTAGTAGGCCAACATTCGCTATGCTATTTTTCATCATTCTTCTGAGAAGCGTTGTATCCACTAAACTATTGCGAGGAATTTCGTGCCAATCGTTTGTGCAGTGTCTGACGACAATGAGAAATTATGCCTGTAGTGGGTATGCGCCACCGTTTATAGCTGAACAAAAAACAAGCTTTTGTAACATGTTGAAGCATTGGACGACCCACTCGTTACGCTACTCGCATTGTGCGGCGACTGCTTGTTTTTTTCGATGTTTTAAAACGCTTTATAAGTCGTATTAACGTGATTGCTTTTCCGATATCAAGCCTGCCTAAGGCAAGTTTGCCACAAATTCCAAGCACCGGTGTGACTCAGTGATAGAATACTGGGCTGGCACCCGGCGAACCGGGGTTCGAGCCCCACTGTGTCATTGGCTCTAGTTTTGTTTCCTAATTTCGCGCGATGAGGTTACGGACACCGGCGGCGTCGGAAAAGCATGGTGCTGCGCGAGACCGAGTTGTGATCTCATAACTGCTTTCGCTGTAAAAAAAAACTTCAGGAGTGGAAGCTCTCGCTACGCCTTGCCAGGAAAAGTGAAACCAGCCTTTGCCGCCCAAAGATCTCTGAAACGTGCCCTATTCTAATGGTGTCAGCTTAGATATCAAGTTGCTTTGAACTGGTTCTTTAAGTCGTACGTTAATAAATAAATAAACAAATAAATGTTATTGCCGACGAAAGTAGCATATCGACATGGGTAATTGATAGGTTGATCTTCAATAAAATTCGTGTAGACTTAAAGGTCTAAAAGAAAGACTATACTAACATATGCACACTCGTGCACCATTATCTGGCACGAAAAAGTTGCTTTGTTAAATCTGTCGGGCGTTCCAAGAACACGCTTACTTTTTTTCGCCAAGCGTCGAAAGCTTATCGTATTCCTACTTTTCCACTACCTAAATTTTTCGAAACATCTTTGGGTTGCGACTATAGTGAACTTGAACATACTATAATTGAAACCGAGTGTAGTTTTCACATCGTTGAGCTCTAAGCATAAAACACAGACTACATGTGTTTTTTTTTTTTTTTTGCTTTTATGTACTGTTTTATACATTTGAACACGTAACACCAACTTGCTTACAGAATTGTTCTCTCCAATCGGTATTCATTTTTGTTTTGGCGACTCTTCGATGCGACTGGACTGCGCCTTTCATTCATAATCAGTAATTGGCATCTTCGTGCGGTGTCTCAGTTGTCGACTCGGTAGTGAAACGAGTTCGGAACGTGCGGTAGAACTGTCCGAACACTTGTACAATCCTATCGTGGAGTACACGCTTAGCGTCGACTCCGTACAGGTAGTCGGTGTGGCTGAACGGGCCCGACCCCACGCGCTCGTCGACGACGATGCTGGAGACGCGGCTGCGGATTCGGTCGATGTCCTTCGGCCGTGAAAGCGTGTCCCCGTGTCCCCAGAACATGGCGACGGGAGCGCGGATCTCCTCCAGGGGATAGCAAGGGGGCACAGCCTGCAAATGGAAGAGTGTAAAGCTTTTTGCTAAGACTGAACGCGCTGCAAGCAACCGGTGGAGCGCTCAGGCCACGCGCTCGGGTGTTCCCTTTCATGAAAAAAAAAATGAGTGTGTACGTGTTGGTTTATTCGCCGCTGCGTATGCGTCACAAAACGATATGTGAAATCTTACCCTGATAATAAACAGT